AGAGAGAGAGAGAGAGAGAGAAAGAGAAAGAGAAATGCAGGGTGCAGATCAGATATTTCTCAACTTGATTATCAGGATGAAAGGTTACGTGATTGTATGATGAGAGCAATGGAAGGGCTGCGTTCAAACCTGCATTAAACTTAACAAAATTGGTAGCTTTTGCCTTATGAATTGTATGTTCATACTTCTCTGAAGCGTGGGTGGACACGTCAATCATTCAAGAGAGACATTCATTTTCTTAGGGTAACATTCATTCATTCATCTATGTTGGAATGGTTCTAGTGCATTAGTATTTAAAGGTGCTACACTTTAAAACAAGAAGCCAGTGTTTCGTATTTCATTATCGTTAAGTTAGTATAAATAGCACTGAAAAACTGTATTACATGTTGTATCACAGTTGAAGATGATGATGTACCTTTGTCTTCAGACCTTTGGTGTTATGGCAGAGGTTATGGGGTCCCTTGTTGGTTTCTAAATGTGGTTTCAGTATGAAAGCCAAAAACTTATGTTGCACTGCCCAGCCTCTGTTGATGTATGAGTGCTTGTTAATACTGGATGGAGGATCCTGATTGCTTAGGCAAGAACTCTGTGTGCTTTTTAAGGTAGACTTACTTTCTTGGCTGTTCCCATTTGTAGAGTGTGTTCAGGTTCTCTCCAGCACATTATTGGATAATAATAAAGAGCTTGTGTTTTTTAATTAATACTGTCATGTGATAAAGTGACTGTAGGAAGGGTTTTGGTTGGTAATGGGATTTATTGGACTCTTTTTAAGACTTCTAACTGCACCTAATTATAGTGTTATGGAGAACTCACCTGCTCTACAGTTCACTACAGCACACACTAAGTATTCTCAGCCTGCTGTATCTTCACCAGTTGATGCCTGGTAACACTCTCAACATCATAGATTCGTCAGCTGCTGTGTTCCATGGCTCCGGCACTTGCCTATGTCACAGCTAACTCTGCTGTCTCAAGACTTTCTCTACACTCTCATGATTACACTACATGAATCACTATTACTCACAGAATAGTGTTCCCCACCATGGTTGTCACTGTGCTGCTGGGTGACATCTTACAACAGTGGAAATTCTGCATTCAGGCTCACTTCTTCACAGGCTGGTGGTCATCTCACAACAAGTGTTGTTATTGCACAATGGCTTACAACAGTGAGGACTCCTATGCCTCTGCCTGGGGTGACTTGTCTGTCAACCTCTGACAGGTCTGTCTCCTAACTGCTAACTACAAACTAAAGACTTTAGACCCCCCTCCCCTTTTTAGTATATGTACCACCGAAGCGAGTACCTCCAGACCCTTGACTCAGACTCACTTAGCTGTGCTTTGATTCTCCAGATATAGCCTTTGCATGGATCCACAGAGAACACTGCTTCCCACAATTCCTCTGTTGTTAATGTGCATAACTGTTTCTATACTGATGTGGCATTTACTGTGCTGTAACCTAGTAACAGATGTCTCTTCAGGTCAAACTGTCTCTGCTTTCAGGAGACATGCCACGATACTTATGTCACAGGAAAACTGTAAATTATCAGGCAGGTTTAATTCATTGTATTCCTATAACTGAATAGTATTTTTAACTTACTATCAACTTAAAGTGATTTGGTGAAAAGTTTATTTTTCAACTTAAGTTGACAGAATGCAGGATATCATTTTTAACAATTATGTAGAACTTATTTAATATGTTCCTCTACTTCAGAATATTCAGTGTGGTGAGTTTTGGTATTCAACATAAGATGCTTAAGTGAAAAATCTACTTTTCAACATAGATTGGCAAAAAATAGTTTCTAGGCACAAATTTTGCATATTGTAGTTCCTGTGGATCCATATAAGTTCTGCTGCCCGTACCTTTACACCCTTAGGTGAAAATTAAATCATCACCATTGCATGAAAAGAAATTGCTTTTAAAGTATGTGTTGAGTCCAGTTTTAATTACTTAAGTTCTCCAATTTAAAAGCCACTTTCTTTTTCAAACAGCATCTGTGCACTTAACAGCAATGCAGAAGAAACATCAGGATGCTATCCTAGAGCTTATAACTACTGAACAGACCTATATTGATGACATGATAACTGTTCATGATGTAAGTAAACCATTTCTCCCTGCCTGATCATTTTCACATGTGATATGTAATCAACATAAATATTTTAAAATAAGTTAGAAAATATAGACCCAGTCCAGCATGTTTACCCCCTTTGGTATCTCTGTTTTGTGTCTTGAAAACCATGAGACTTACAGAAGAAATGTATTGGACATAGAATGTGTGTTTCAGTTTTCTGTGGAACTTGTTCAGAACATTTTTCACCCTGATAAATTTTTAACAGTGCATACAGAATCACCTGTAGGTCTGTTTATAAAATTTGTGTTATTTATATGTGCTTTTGATCATAATTTAAAGGTATTGACAAATCTAAGTAGAATTTACAAATGTCGTGATTGTTCATTCAGCAATTCTTAGTTAAATACAGACAGACATGGCAAAGGAAATGGATGCATTTTTGTAATTTTTTTGTTTTGGCACATTCTGCTTTACTCACCCTCAGTCTCTTTTTCTACATTTCATTTGGGTCACAAACCATCCTCTGTTAACCACAATTATTTCCACATCTTACCTTTCACCTAACATAGCTGCAAGCTTCCAAGTTTTCTTTTTTTTTTTTGTGCCCACTCTACATCTATTACATTCAGGAATTTATTGTGAAGTGCACTGTAGTTGTTGTATCTAATAAAATTCAGGGACTGTGTGTTACTGTTCAGTTGGATGGTGAGTGAATGTGATTAATGATGGGTGAGAAAATGCAGAGGGCACACTTACAGTGGTGTATAAACAGATGTAACTGATGTGGCATGTACATAGTCTGTGGACACTGGTCTGAATACACAGGATTTCATGAACAGCAAGGGCAGTAAAAACATGAATCATGTCAACAAATGTGTTTTTTATTCTCACCATAGATCTGGGAAAGCAGAGGATTTATGCAAAGAGTATTTCATATGTTGCATAGTATGTAAGTTTACTGTTGCTTTACATTGTACAATATTTTTGTGTATACTGAGGTGCCTACTATTTTATGACAGGTTTTTGAGAAACCCCTACTGGAATGTCAGATTCTTAGTCCTCAAGATGTACAGAAGATATTTGTCAACTGGAGGGAAATTATTGACTGTAACTACATGTTTCTCAGGTGACTGCAAATTGAAACTTATTACTGTGTTCTTGATATTGTTACAAGCCATTGTACCAGACTGTTGTTAGGTTTGGTGAATCTTCTGATCTTCATGCATCATACAAGTTCAGCTTTGTGTTAGTTATAACATTTGTTGGAAATAATCTTGTCTTTGTTATGTATTATGTATAAACGCCCCATAAATGACAACTGACACAGATCAAAACAAATTAGCATTGTGACACATGCTGTTTTGCAGCTTTTTCGGTATTTTTGAATGAATTCTATGAACCTCCCCATGCACGCACACACACACACACACACACACACACACTGTTTATAGATTTTAATAGCCATAAAATGCTATCAATGTAGTCATTATTTTATTTTAAAATGTGTGAGCATGCATAAATGCATATGTAAAATTTAGCATTTATATAAGCCATGTAAAAAGAATCTGCAGGCTTGATAATCATTTGATGCAGCACTTCTGTGTGAGTACTGATACAGCAAACATTTGGCTCTAACTTAATTCTACTGTAAGGCATTCACAAATATAGTTTTGTGCTTTTATGGATTCCTCTCATCCTCTGCAGTACATTTCTTTCATTTGAATGGAACTTTAATTTCATCAACTCAGAAGTGAACTCATGTTTCCCACATTTGGGGTGCAAGTATCTTTTCTGTAATCCACCAAGGGCATTCTTCACTGGGGTGCGGTAGTGCTCCGTAATTGTAGCTCATTGACGATACGAGAATTAAGCAGGGACTTCAGATTTGGTTACTGATAAGGGTAACAGAAGTTCTTACTCATATACACATATAAACACTTGTATTAGAATATCAAGATTTCTTCACAAAGGAGGTCTGACTGATGATGCTTACATACTGAATGGTTTCAGGGCCCTACAAGTGAGAAGAGATATGAGTGAAGGAGGGCTAATTCGCATGATAGGTGACATCTTATGTGAAAATGTAAGTGGAATTGTTATATAAAGCTTTGTAAATGTGGAAGTTGCCCATAGAAACCCTCTTGCAGACCTCAAGAAGAAATACGTGGGGCAATCCAAAAGTTTCCAAAATTTGAATTTTGCGCGTGAATGGTTATGAGTACATCGAAATACCGCTAGGTGTCTCCTCACACATCCTTCTTGAATCAGTGTGGCAAGTGGCGTCGAGTTGAGTGGTTGGGTTTATTGTTGGTGAACGTATTTTCATTGTTGTGTTTCCACGAGTTTGTGGTTTTGCGATGGCTGACCTGAGAGAGAGCAGTGTGTCTGTATAAAGTTTTGTTTCAAACTTGGGAAAACTGCTGCAGAAACACACCAAATGTTGACGCAAGCTTTTGGTGACAACGGTTTAGGCCAGACACAAACTTACGACTGGTATAAGCGTTTCAAAAATGGCCGAACATTGACTGATGATGACGATTGTTCGGGATGGCTGTCAACTGGCACCGCACCAGAAAATGTAAGGAAAGTTAGGGATCTGATTCTGCAAGATCGTAGACTGACCATCCAAGACCTCTGTAACACCTTGGGACTAAGTTATGGTACAGGTCAGCGAATTTTGTCAGAGGAACTGAACATGAGGAGGATTGCGGCGAAGTTTGTGCCATGACTGCCGCAAAATGAACAGAAGCAGCATAGCTTGGAAGTCTGCAGGGAATTTCAACGACAGCTTCCAGAGGATCCAAACTTTCTTTTGAAGGTGATGAAAGTTGGGTTTATGGCTGTGATCCTGAAAGCAAGCAGCAATCGTCGCAATGGAAGAACCCTTCTTCACCTTGGCCAAAAAAAGCTCGACAAGTCAAGAGCAACATTAAGTCCATGTTGATCTGTTTTTTTGATATTGACAGGATTGTTCATAAGGAGTTCGTCCCTCCTGGTCAGACACTCAATAAAGAGTTCTATCGCGATGTTCTAAGGCGTTTGAGGGAGAACATGAGGAGAACACGTCCAGAGAAGTGGCGCACAAACGACTGGGTACTCCACCATGACAACGCACGACTGCATACAGCTTACATTGTGCAGGAATTTTTGGCTAAAAACAAGATGGCAGTTGTTCCCCTCCTACTGTACTCGCCAGACTTAGCTCTATGCGACTTCTTTCTCTTCCCCAAGATGAAAATCAAGTTGAAGGGGCGAAGATTTGATACAGTTGAGGATATTCAAGTGGAAACATAGACGGTACTAAACACCCTAACAAAGAAAGACTTCCAGGATGCATTTGAAAAGTGGCAGAAATGCTGGGATCGGTGTATGCGCTCCCAAGGGGACTACTTTGAAGGTGATGGTGCAGAATAAGATCTAGGTAAGATGTAATAGTTTTTATTAATATATTTCGGGAACTTTTGGATTGCACCACATATATGTATTAGAAATACTGGACAATTTAATTTACAGGTTTTAAGATTAAACATTTTTATTTCCTGCAGTAAAATTGTCTTGTATAGTTAGATGTATCAGTATTGAGTAGAGCTGTCCTGCCTCTATTGTAAGGGAGGGAGAGATGGTTGGATGGACAGGTGGATTGATTTTACATGTATCCATTCATCCAGCAAAGCCATATCTTCTTGCTCACAAGCTAGACAATGAGAGGCACACAAGTTAAGTGCCATACCAAATTTCAAAGATTTATTCTTACATTATGTTCATTCCTCTTTAAGACATTGATTAAATTTAAAATTATTGTTGCACACACCCATGTGGAGGTGGGGTTGAATACCTCCACCATGACTCTGCAAGTCATAGGAGGCGATGAAAAGGGAAGTCTCACATCTGAGACAGTAAAATATGGTTGTGAGTCTCAAGGGACTCGGACCCAAGAAAGACTGTGCTGGCAAGGACCAGCAGCATATGCCAAAGACAGACCCATCCTCTTGTCAGAGAGGGTGCCCCATAAAAACAAGACCGTAACTGTCAAACAGTAATAAATATCTGGTCATGAGCCCCAGATGGGGCTTGACACCAAGACTTACTGATTGACTGACCATCAGTTGCAGTCTGACTTTGACTTTGACTGTTGTTACACTGGGGCTATGAACGCAAATTTGCATGACCCTGACATAAGTTAGTGTTGACAAAATCGGAATGTTTCATTGGTCTTTTCTTTTGGTTCTTTTCAGTTGCCATGCATGACAGCATATATCCGTTTCTGCAGCCGTCAGCTGAGTGCAGCTAAGTTTCTTCAGCAGTTAACAGAAGAATCAGCAGATTTCCGAAACATAGTGAAGCAGTGTCAAAGTGATCTCCGCACAAATGGCATGCCCCTTAGCAGCTTTCTCATCAAGCCTATGCAGCGTATAACCAAATATCCACTACTTATTAAAAAAGTAAGTATCTTCTATGTGAGAGTCTGTCAAATATATAAATCTAACACCCAAGCCAGGCTGTACCAACTTAATACCTGGACTACTGATTTTTAATTTCCTGAAAGGTGAGCCTTAGAGACCATGCCACATCTCATGTGATTAGTCTCCATCTTCCTGCCCTGGTTGGTCAAGTTCAATTCCAGGTCATGCAGGATTTGTGGTGGACAAAGTGGCACTGGGGCAGGTTTTCTCCAAGTACAGTCAACTCTCGATTATCCGGGAGCGGATTAACTGGTTTGTGGCTTAACCGGGGCTACTGAGTCTTTTTTGAGGCTTATATGTTGTTTAATATTCATTCACTTTTGTTTCACATGGTGAGTTGTAACACTGTTTTCGCACTAGTGTGAACTGAGCTCTGCATTCTTTGGTCCCGTTATGCTAACACAATGTTCTAGGGTAGGGGTGAAAGAATGCAAGGATTTGTGGAAAGTTTCAAGGACAGATGCACCGCCCCAGTTGGTCTCTTTGTATCGATCTTCAAGTGCGTTAGCAAAATGTCAGGGTGTAAAAGGAAGTGTGTTGTGTTAAGTATTCAACAGAAACTTGTGTGAGCAGGGCTTCAAAATGTTAAGCAGTGACAAAATTATAAGTTCAGTGGGGGTGCAGCCAGAAGAGCTGGAAGAAAGTGAGAATGAGGAAGAGGTGGACAGCGCTTCTAGTAAGAAAATATCACATGGTGCTGCTCTTAATCATTTGGAATCCTTACTAGACTATCTTGAGAGTGAAGAGAATAGTTTATTAAGTGACAAGCTAATATTACGTAGGCTTCATACGGATATCCGTAAAAAGGAAAATGCCGCGAAAAAGCAAACAACAGTATTAATTTTTTTAAGTGTTAAGTGTGAATATTCGTAAAAAGTGTTGGATGTTGTTGAACACTGTGCTTGAAGTAACTAATTCACACTTCAGTACAATGTAAAAAAAGTATTAAATAGGCCATGAGATGACATAAAAATGAGGTTGAGTAAATTTAAATACAGGTAGGCCTATAGTATTATGAAGGTACAGTATTACAGTACTACTTTTAATAACATTTGTCTTAACCGGGTTTTCGATTAATTATGATTTCCATGCCCACCATTATCCCAGATAATTGAGAGTTGACTGTACTTTAGTTTTCCTTACCAATTCCCATTCCACTAACTGCTCCATAATCATTAATCATCCTGTCATCAATGCCATATAGTCTCAATACTGACAGCATTGTTAAGTAAGAAACAGCAGTACCTGATTCACACTGTTTTCTTTGCTTTTCTTCTTCTTCTTTGACCATGAAGATGGAAGAAGCATGATCCTCTGAAACTCATTTGACTTTCAACAGACTGCATGGTTTTATATCCCAGAAGACAGAACTCTTCAAATAAGCAAAGAAACAAACGTGAATCTTAGGCCATAATGGGTTTAGAATCTTACTTTTGAAACGATTGCCTTAATAACTTTATGGTATCCCAGTAGATGTAGTTCCTTGATATATTGTCCTGATTTTAGTGACTATAGATGAATTTTGGATTGATGACTGGATTTATTGGACTCTTTGTTACAGTGCATGACTACACTCTACATTTCACTATTTCCGCAGTTACAACTTCACTGCCATTGCTTGGTAGCAGCTTCCAACAGTGGACATTCCCCTTCCTCTGAGTTCCCAAACTGCCCCTGGCCTCAGCTACCAGCTTCTTACAGCAACAGGTCACAACAACTGAGCCCTAGCAGTTACCTCTCTCTCTCCCCCTCTCCCTATCTCCCCCTCGCCCTCTCCCTATCTCCCCCCTCTCCACCCCCCCACCCCCACTTACCTGCTACTCTGGGCAAAATCCACAGTTCTAAAATGCTAAAGCAGTTGGTACATACAGTGATCAGTGTGCTTTAAAGGGTTAATATACTCTTACAATTTGAATAAAATTATACTTTTATTTTGATAATTCAGTTCAAACCTCTTATTACACCACTGTTTTGTCTAGATTCTAGACTACACTCCAGATGACCATCCTGACAGGCAGAACTTACAAGAGGCTCTTGCCAAAGCTGAAGAATTCTGCACACAGAAAACTAAGAAACATGAAATATATTATGTATGGCATAATAAAATTCAATCTAAAATGTCAAAAAATAAGGCACTTCAGTATACCAAAAATGTAATATAAATTAAACTTTGATATAATATACACAAAAGTAAGCATACATATACATAAATATAGAGTAAAATTCTGTAAATTCAACAAAGACAACTTAAACAAAATGTTGACTTATATACAAAAAAGATATGCGTATCAGCATTAAAGTAAAGAAGATGCCTTTGCCCAGTGAAAGAGACTGGAATCTTGCCATTGCCAATTTACATGACAAGCAAAGTCAGCATTTACACCATAAATAGTAAATCATACTTTTTGATGAAGTTGAAGGTTAGCTGGTAACTGCTTGGACAATTCTGAGAAACATGTGTATGCTGGTAAACATATGGGCTATTACAAGATGGTTCTGTTTACATGGAGAGAGTGTGTCATGATATCTGTGATCAAGATCACAGATAATGCCTCAATGTAGAGAGAACATCTGCTGGGAAGGTAGAGTTTGTAAGCTTCAGTTATCCTTCACTGCTTCATAGAGTATTGCTGAGTAAGTGCTCGGTGTAAGTCCATGGAACAGAGTTCTATTCCAGAAGCTAATAGTCACTCAGCTTGTCAAGAAATTCTTGATTTTTATGGAATTTTATGATTCATTACTATGTTCACAAACGTCTACCATTTTGTGTGTCCTGTGGGCTGGGTTCATATGGCTTATGGTGGAGTCCAGTGGTGCTTTCTTGTGAAGAGTGTAATGAAAACTTCTTGTCCCATAAAAGGCAGGGCTTTTGACTAACTGAGCAGCTGTTGGCATCTGAAAATGAACTCTGCCCCATAGCATTATTTGTGATATATTTTGATTGATTTCAAACTGTAATTAGAATTAGAATGGTTATTATCCTATGTATCATACTGTACACATTTTTAATCCAAAGATATCTTATATTTATTTTGTAAGGTAAATGAAGGTGTGCGGGAAAAAGAAAACTCAGATCGTTTAGAATGGCTTCAACGCTGTGTGCATTGTGAAGGCCTGGAGGAAAATCTTGTGTTCAATTCCATGACAAACTCGCTTGGTCCACGAAAATTTCTTCATTTTGGTGTTCTCCATAAGGTACATTTTACAGCACAATATCAAAATATAATGTATATAGAAGCATTGATTCCAAACTTTGTATTTAATTGTCATTTCAGAACTTTTATTCTTTATATCTGTTAGAAGAGCACCAGTTTTAACTGATGTTAAATTTCAAGTCAGACACCCAATATGTTAATAAAAGCTTATGAGAATGAAATAAGATGAAGAGCAAGAACTTCTGGTTGACATGTCACATGTTATGTGTGACTATAGATGGGGTTTGGAATAGTGAATAAAAAATTCTTTTCAGCAGTAATCTGTCATATGACAGATTACTGCTGAAAAAAAATGCTTAAGCTAAAAACAAGAAGTACATAAAGAAATTTATGAAGAGGGAAAGAAAATTACAGCAATGGCAGTTATGAAAGCAAAAAATGAAATGTGGAACAAAACATGTTCAAAAATAAACTGTGAGCTGGGATTCAGAAAATGAAGGGAAGCATAACAAACCAACCATAAAATCAGAGCAGACTTGATATAAAGTATCAAGGATTGGTATAAATATTATAGTACATTACTTAAAAAAGATAGAACTGAATTTGTAGAAGAGGAAAAATGGCAGATGGAAAGTAAAAATCTAGTCATTTCAGACATAGAAGTGGATAAAGATATGATGAATGGGAAATCTGTGGGACCTGGAAATATCATCTTCAAATCAATAAAATAAATTGGAAGAGAGGTTTTAGCAATGGTATCAAAATTATTAAATAAAATATTACAGGGAGATAACATTCCACAAGAAATGAAAACAGAATATTTTATACAGAAGAAAGGAAATGAAAGGAAGTGTGAGAATTATAGAGGCATCAATATCACAGATCCATTTATGAAGTTCCAGGGTAATCTAATTAAATATTGTGTAGAAAGACGTTAGTCAAGAAGGATGAGGTGGACAGGTCATGTAGCATGAATGGGAGAGACGAGGAATGCGTATAGGATATTGGTGGGAAAGCCAGAAGGAAAGAGACCACAGGGAAGATCAAGGCATAGGTGGGTGGACAATATTAGAATGGATCTTAGAGAGATAGGATGGGATGGTATGGATTGGATATATCTGGCTCAGGATAGGGACCAGTGGAGGGCTCTTGTGAACATGGTAATGAACCTTTGGGTTCCATAAAGTGCTGGGAAATTCTTGAGTAGTTGCAGAATTGTCGGTTCCTCTAGAAGGGCTCAGCTCCATGAGTGAGTAAGTAAGTAGAAAGACGTTATAAAGGAAGTGAGGAACAGAGTTGTTTCACTAAAGGAGGATCAGCTGTAGGTCATATTTATATTATTACATGAATTCTTGAAAAAATGTAATATGCAGCAAGAAGATATTAAGTTTTATATTCTATTACCTGGAAAAGTTTTATGACAGTATACCAAGAAAACTATTGTGGCAAGTGTTAGGAAAGGTAAATGTTAACCAATCAGTTATACAAATTATTAGAAATATATATAGCATTAACAAATGGAGGACAAAAGTAAGATCAAATTTACCAGATGAATTTGTAACATGACGGGTTTGTTACAATGTTGTGGCCCAAAGGCCGACTCCCGGTAATATGTTAACATAGTATTAACATTTTTGTATTTTCGGGAAAATATTTGTTAGGATAGATTTGGTTTTGGGAAATATTTGTAAGAGGTACGAAAGCGGATGTACGAAAGGTTAACAACTTAAAGGAATTTCTGCGTATGGATTTAGACGGACATTGGCTTGCCGCGAGGGAATGCCGAGTCAGCAGAATGACGTTGAATGTATATCGAACTGCTAACTACAGAATTTACACTTGCGTGATGGGGGGACGTTTGGAGGTAAAAATGTCAACCAAACGGTTTAGCAGTAGAAGGGGGTGTGTCCCCTTAGGATCCCAGCCAACGAGATCACCCACCTTGGGATAAGACGTCACTGGAGGCGGACTTACACCCTCCGGGAAAATAATGAGTAAGCATACATAGGGGTATATAACCCAGAGACCAAATTAAGAAGGGGATTATTCTAACAGTAATTTTGGCCATTTGCGGCCGTAGGCTCTGTCCAAATGGACACCGACTCGACTCCCGGCAACGCCATCCGTCTGCAGACTCAACGCAAAGTAAGTGGAAACTACTCTTATCGCCATGCGCAATAATTGTAATATTATTAAAGTGTAACTCCTCCAATGGGACTAGAGTTAGGATCGTTAGAAAAAGTGTACAGGGCGTAAGAATGATCAACCGAGTGATGCGAGGTAGCCAAGTGTAATGTGTAACCCGACACCAGTCGGCCCTTTCAGTGTGAGAATTCCAAATGTATATAACTGTATAATGATTGTGTTTTACTAATATAGTGTAGCATAGGGTGAGGGTGTGGGTTTTTGTGGTGATTTTCTCCCTTTCCACAATTGGCACCTGCGCCCTCCTGACAAGCCCGGTGAACAGTGAGCCCCTAGCCACGAAGCAACGATAGAGAAAGCTATTCAGACGTTTCCTTAGTCCTACCCCTGTGACTGCAAGAGAGATGGTGACAGTGGGGATTACCAATCCACCCCTGTCGTAAGGATTAGTGACATAACATACAAGGATGCCTAATATCACGATCCCTGTTCAAAATACACATAGATACAGCATTGGAAGAATGGTCTAGGAAATGTAAATGAATGGGATTAAAAAATGAAGAGAGCTGCTATGTGCACAATTTAATCTTTATAGATAATTAAGTTGTAATTACTAGAGAAGCAGAGAATGCGAATTACATAGGGATAGAATTGGAGGAAGAGTATGAGAAATGGAGGCTTAAAATAAATAATGGGAAAACAGAATATTTAGGTACAGATCATTCAAAAGAATTGCAACTCAATGAGAATACAGTTACAACCGTAAAACAGTTTTAAGTATTTGGGATTAATAGAGAATGGCTCATGTGATCTTGAAATTTAAAAAAGGATTAGTTAAACAAGAAGAATTATTAGGATGGTAAATTCAGTTATATGGAATAGAAATATCTTACACTCAACAAAGTTATTAATGTACCATGTAGACTATTGCTGGGTAATGACCTTGAAACAGATGGTGAAACAATGTCCGTTACTAGGCAGAGACCACAAGATAAGCAAATGTACCAGAGCCGTTACTGGGTAATGCCTTTGCAGACAAAATACATCCCTGTGGAAACACTGGGAGCAAAAATAGTAGAGCTGTGTTTTATAATTGTGTGTCACAGATACAGCAGTCTTGAAAGTAATAATGAATTGTAGTTACGACACGTGAAATTATCCAGTAAATCCGAGTTATCAAATCCAGAATCTGTTATTTACTGTCATGTTACCAGGATACATGCAACAATATCATCATAATAATGTTGGTGAAGAGTATAAGTTTTGGAGTTCCTCATTATGCACCATCCTCCAGTTACCCCCTTTGTCATGGTTCATATATTTACCTTGGTATCCTGTTCTCTAGAATCCTCAGCCTGTGTCGTTCCCTTACGATGGGAGACCATATTTGAAACTAAAATTGAATGAATCCTAGGTTTACTTCTGATTACTGCTGCAAGAAAGAATGAAATGTAACATAATTTGTTGAAGATAGTAGTGGATCCAACTCTGAAAGTATCTAGTGTAATAATATACCTGAAACATAATCATGTCACACATATTCTACCACTCTGTAGTGAATTCTTTTATGCTTACTGTGTTTCAGGCCAAAAGTGGTAAAGAATTAGTTGGTTTCTTAATGAATGACTTCCTTCTACTAGCTCAACCTCCTAAACCCTTGGGAAACTCATTCTCATTTGAGAAATGTGCCAATACCACATTTAAACTGTATAAAAAGGTAAGACTTGAGTTTAAAGCTATTACTTATGAGACTGTTATGTATCATCTGGAACAATGACATTTTTTTCCCCTTGGCACTACAGCCCCAGTGGGCCTAGGCCTACCTCCATGAACTTCTCCGTTCACTTCAGTTTTTCTAGATCTTACGCATTTGGTAGGACTCCTTGGGTGGGTGATCAGCTCATCGCAAGGCCTCTACCTGTACACAAACACAGAAAATCACACACACACAAACTAAACATCCATGCCCTGAGTGGGATTCGAACCCATGATCCCGGTTTCCAAGCGAGCAAAGACAGTACATGCCTTAGACCGCTTGGCTACCCTGACCGGCTGGAGTCATGACATTAACAGTTATTAATTACACTAATGACAGTAAAGAATGTAATTATAAAAGAGTTCTTATAAAGTATTTTGGAATAACTTCACAGTATGATGACCATATGTACTCAGATTTAACCTACATACTTTATGTAAGATTTGAGGTTTTCACAGTGGTGACTATGAAGAAAGCAGTCCTCTGGGATGTGGGGCCATGTAGATATTGTGTTAACCGACATTTCAGAGGAACATATTGCCTCCATCTTCAGGGTAAACTACTTCCATTTCCTCTCTGTATCATGAGTTTATTCCCATTCCCTTTCTTAATTGTGGGACAAAGTATTTAAATCAGATTTCATCATGAAGTTTACTGTCTTCTCTACTGCAAGGGTAGAAGAGAACCTTAGAGATGTCAGGAACAGTCTATATGGCATCGCATCTAGAAAACAGTCATTCATTATCACAGCCATGCTTACCTCAAGGTCTTAGACATTGTCGTCATCATCATCATCATCATCATCATCATCATCATCATAATTCTTGTCATAACAAGTGGTAGGTCAAGAAGGCTTTTACAATCTAATAATATATTCTATAATTGACTTTGTTTTGTGCATTTAGCCAATGTTCCTGAATGAACTTTGTGTGTCACAACAAGAGAGTGGGCAGTTAAAGGGTACATCAGTCAACAGTGAAGGAAGTGGTAATGAATCACCAGAGATATCACAGCTGTTGCGTCTACAAGATGTCAGAAGAAAGACATGTTATAACATGCTTGCACCTAGTGTTAAAGAACGGAATCTCTGGTTCAAATGCCTTGAACAAGCTTGCAATGAATTCCTTGAGAATGAAAAATGTCACTTACAAAGACAGCAGTCAAGTAAGTATGATGAAATCTGTGTCATTAACTCTTTGTATTGTCATTTGTCTCCTGCCCTACCTATTGTGGTTGTGTTGATCTGCAGTGACATCCTGAGGTTTGTTAACATGAATGTTATATTTTCATTTATGTTGAAAAATGGAAGTTATTATGAAGACCAGCTGGATAATGATGCTAAAGGAGGGAATTGTGCAAATTATACTTGTAAGTATACTCTGTGGGTAAAATGCTGAGTTCTTTAATATTAAAGCACATGGTATATATAGATACGTATATCCTTTAAAGTGTTGAGTGAAAGGATGCATAACAACACAGTTGATTTTCATATCAGCATGCATTTCGTGTGTGGGTTTTTGGATATTTCGGGTCAATTTCAGTCCACAGAAGTCTCTGTTGTTGTAATTTAGCTTCTGCTTTTTCATGCCATATGTCTTCCTTTGTTTTTTAAATAATGGCATTGTTACATCCTCAGGGATGTGATCTCAGAAGGTAACAATACAGAGCTATTTCTACTAATCTAATAGTCTGTAAGTCATGCATTTACTGCAGCATATACAGTGTTTTTGAAGTAAAGCAGGGAATTGACCTGATTCTGTAGGATGAAGGAACGTATATTGTTGGGAGCTATTACCAGGCAATGTCTAGTGAATACATATGAGACTTTCTGTGTGTTGCAGTGCAGAGATTTTTAGAATGTGTATATCTGTGAAACTGTTACAGTTATCTGTAGTTATGAGTTAGTAAGTGTCCAGTAAATCCAATTATGAATCCAAACCCCATGTCTAGTCACCAACTCATGCCAGTATTAAAACCTAATGAGTGTATCTCAGTGCTAATATTTTATCTAATGTCCACAGAGCAGGCCCAATTTGGAGCATGTGGCAGGATTCTGGTTGTTGTGATGGAAGGAGTCGGGCTGAAACCCCACTCAGCCAGTGCCTCGCCAGTCAGCCTGCCTGCCTGCCTGCCTGCCTGCCTGATGTATTTAGTACAGCATGTTTACTTCCATTACAGCAGTTCCCACTAATGCTCCGCTATATTGCCATATCATTAGACAACAGATATTATACATAGAACATTGTACAATAACCAATTCTTACATCAAATTTGGCTTCATATAAAGTTGTGGGAGATGATATGTGAAATATTTTGTAATGTAATGAATCTTGAGCAACAAAATTTATGAACGTTTGTATATAGTTATATCCAATTACATGCATTAACTCATGTGCACCGGTTTAACTGGATCCTGTATACCTGCAAAATAATTGGACATGTGAATGATTGTATCACCTCTGGATACACTGTCTTACCAATATTGAATTTTACCAAATATATAAAGATTAGCTTACCCTACAAAAAATAATGCACATTATGTAAAATATTCATCTCTCTGAAGTCCATAGCTGCTTCAATCATTTTTCAGTTTGGTGTACATAAATATAAAGTTTTAGGTCTTCAAGAAAAGTGCCAATTCTGGTTTGTCAATAATGTCTTAATTTATATTTTTCTTCGCTTCAGTTTTATGAGCATGTCCCATACAAAATATCTAAGTCATATAAAGATGTCACAGATGGACATGTGTTCCGTATGAGGCATTCATAACTTGTTTACTTTGCATAAAAAATGCCTGAAAGAATTCCATGCAATTTCCAAACTGGGATGGAGAAAGAATATATTCAAGGAAGTACTGTAGGGACATGTTCACTGGTACTGCCTTAGCAGCAAAGAAGTCTTGAAGGTTAAAGGGCTACTCATGAAGGTTTCATAGGCCCAGCAAGCCAGTAGCTTATTTGATTTTTCTTTATGGTTCCAGGATGGAAAACATTGTAGTGCAAGTAATTGCAAATGAGGTATACTATACACTTTTAAAATTTGTTTTGAATATACTAATAGTCATAAGAAAGTTTATGGTGAAAAGTTGATACATAACCTGTTCAAGAAAATCCCTGATTTTATGTAACATAAAGGTTCATCACCATGCTTGCTTTTCAGTAGCTTTTTCTTCATCTAAACTAGGCCCAGTCCATAACATCCTTAAATCCATGTACAGTTAATAGCTATTTAAAGTAATATTTCAGCCTCTTCAAAATATGGTGGAATTTATCATTAGGTTACTATTCTCATCCTAAGTAATTAATTCTAGAATGGTAACCCTTCATAAATTCATTCTGCCTCTATACAGACTTCTAATAGTTTGATCTTATTGTTTGTTAAAAGCTTGTTCATTTTGTCTTTAGATATTCCCTTTTATGTTTCCTAAGTCCTAATGCGACATCTTATGTTGTTAAGATTATCTCTTGAATTCTGCAGTCACTAATGAACATGTTTTTGTTTCATCAGATCCATCCAAGACTAAGGTCATTTATGACATTGTAATATGCTGTCCTTTTTCACTAATGGGTGTTCAGCCCCATGCTCTTATTCCTTTGGACCATTCTTTGAGAGCTTGTTCAAGTATTCATGGCTACCCTTTATACCTGGAACTTGTCTCCTTTTGTACATGTACAGTGCTCATTACATATCTGTTGTCTGATACATTATTAGCTTCTTTAGATCCATAAGAATGCTGATTATCCTGTGAAGGCTTCCTCTGCCTGTAGATGATCCCAAGTTGAGCTCACTTAGTGCATGTTGTATTTCGCTGTAATGTTTGTAGTTTCCTGTTGGCTGCCAAAGGGTTATCTTCAGATGGTCATAGTAAAAGCGACCAGCTTAGTTACAAAAAAACAAAGAGGTAATTTTTCCTAATAATATGTTTACATAATGTTGCTTATCATTGGTCTATCACTATTAATTTCATTAAGATCTTTGGATTTGACTGTGGAGATACAGTCTGGCAATAATAATTGCTTACAGATATGTCACACTACTTCTCATTATGTATGCAGAAGTATAATTTTACATGTTGCTTTGTATGGCTGTGAAACTTGGTCTCTCACCATATGGGACAAGAGGCAGTAATAGCAGGCTGGAGAAAGTGTAATAATGAGGAGCTTCATAATTTTTGTTCTCCACCAAAATTATTAGGATGATGAATTCAAGGAGGGTGAAATGTGAAGGGTGCATAGCACTTATTTGAAGTTTTGTATTTATTCTCTGGATGATGTGTTGATTATCTTAGGTTATGGGGCTCTTTTCAGAACAGGCTCTGTAACAGTTTTGATCTAGTAAGAGTACATTGTTATAAACATAACATAAAATATACCACTCTACCACATCACATAAAATCATAATGTTTCAAGTCTAGTCCAGTTCACTAAAAATTTAAAAACTTTGACCCCTAGATTGTTTTGGTTGGAAACATTAATTTTATGGGTTATGTGATCCCAAATGTAGCCATTGAAAACCAACCAACCAACCAACAGTAATTTTATGCGTTTGAATATAAAGACAATAAAGTAATTCTTATGCATCTTATCTGTCCACATTCAAGCCTTCTGTGACAATTCTATGGTTTTGAAACTCCTGAGATAAAAACAGCCTGTAACATTGCCTCATGTCAATCTCTCTTACAGTTGTAGACAATAATTCCAAATGGACTTGAACCCACGAAAGTGTGCAGATTTTGTATACTCATTACTAGATTGTGGATGATTAACTGGTGAAAAATTGGTTAAAATCTGACTGTTTCTAAGTCATGACCAAAGATACAAATAAAAGTTTTTCCTTCAATATATGGGCCATCTATGTACTGTGTGATTTAAATAAAAAACTGAAGACTTCAATTCAGTATGTTTTCAATGTCTTGATAGAAATAATAACATAAACTAATTAGAAAATTTTTCATACTAACTACCAGCCCACATGTACAAAAACTTTGTTTACTGCAAGCACGTTAACTAATATTTGTAATCTGATTTACAGTATTATTATAACTGATTCTATTTCTGTCTTATTAGGCAAATGTGGTATATTTTGTGAAGTAACTATGGGTGCACAGAAAAATCGAACAAAGGTGGTGCCAGCTACATCCGAAGTTCAGTGGAATGCTACAATGCAGTTCCTCATTAAGGACCTACAGGAAGATGTTCTTTGCATCACAGTATTTGACCGTGGACATTTTTCTCCAAATGGTGAGTGAATAAATATAATGAAGTTTTTTGTGCCCATCTGCAGAAAGTGCTTGTTATGATAGTCTGCATGGATTACTATGAACATTAGACCACAGAAGTCTGAGAATATGACCATCACCATTATTCTGATAATATTATAATGCTATCATTAACTGAAAAAACGATTCATACTGTGGTCTTCTAGGTTATGACACTGTGTAGTCTGGTAACAGAGTTTCATTCCTAAAAAAAACAGTATATACAATGGAAAAGTCACAAGAGAAGATGGAATGAGTGCTGAACTGTATAAACATAGCTCAGAAAACTTAATAAGAAATTAAGCCACTTCTTAAATAAGATTTGCGAAAAGAGAAAATACCACAGGAGCTGAGAATAGCAATATAGAGGACTACCTGAACTGTGTACAACATATAAAATGTAATGTAATATTTTAAGAAGTTTCTTAAATAAGATTTGCGAAAGAGAAAAAAATACCACAGGAGCTGAGAATAGCAACAATAAAAACCAGGGAAAGATATAAGAATTGTAACGATTTTAGAGGATCACCTTAACTGTGTATAGCATAATGCAATAATTTAAGAAGTTTCAAAAAGTTCAAACACTAACTGACAGATGAACAAAATAGATTTAAAAAAAGACAGTAGTAAAACACGTAACAGTGAAAGTAATTTACTGATGTACAATGCTGTTTTTGATTATGAAGAAGCATAGCAATATTTAAAGAGGCCAAAACTAACAGGCTCTTAATTGAATTCCATTTCCATAACAGTTAATAAAATACCAACTAAATGGTGTATGAGAGTTAAGGAGATCCACAAGTGATATTAGAAGTAAAGTGAATACTAAAATTGGTAGGAACCAATTTTTAATTTATTAATAATGGAGTACATGCAACCAGTTACATTTGTTCCAGAGTTCCTGGGTCGAACAGAAGTTCGTATAGCAGATATATTGCGGGCAACACAAAACGGTAATGGACCAATCATTAAAAGACTATCACTTCATCTTGTTAAAACTGGTGAGATACTCCTCAAGTTGGATCTGAGGTTATTCAACAAAGTTACTTGAACTATGGTAAGGATTGTGAAGTTTACATTAAAGTTACATATGATTTTCACATGTTCTTAATGCATATAAGAAATATGCAGTGGGCCTTAATGTTTTTGTTACAAGAGTTTATATTTTTTGACAATTTAAAGTTTACTGATTTTCATTCTGTAAGTAAGGTATGTAATTCTGAAACTTGTGCTCTTTCTCTGTATATCTGTGATATGTCCATTGTCCTGCCCCTTTGATATGAGGATGGTTCATATTTGACTACATCTTTGGAACCCATATTTTGCTCACTTAAGCAGAAGTGAAGATGTTTGTGAATGACTGTCTGTACACTGCTGGCACTCGTGTTCACTTGCGTGATTTCACACACAGGAACGTGGTGGCTGTCTGCAATCAACTTCTCAATTTTGTTAATGTTTAAATGACTGATTGGTGTTTGTAGTTGTTGGGGAGATTGTACAATGTACCATGTCTGTCCTTCAATGCAGTATACCATTCATATGGGTGTTTTTGAGCTTTCTTGCACGGAAAATTTGATTTCACATTGCTGAATGAACTTCATAATACAAGTAACTTCTAGTTAATCACAAAATAACCACTGTGCTTATGCGTCCTAGGAAATTAAGAAGTTTTAATAAAAAATAATGTATTTGCATTCATGAGTAATTCTGTAAACTGAGAGTTGTGTACAAAGTATGCCATGTGGCTACTCAGGGAAAATTTCAAGGCACTCCTGCTCAAGTGTTAATGTAGGATTGTGTAATAGTTTGGGGCCATATATATTCAAAAGTATATATAAGTTTTATTAAGATAATTTTCTCTGGACTGTACAAAAAAACAATCATATACAGTCTCTATTTACCTTTTTCTGGTTGCTAATGTATGAAACTTTAGAAGGAATGGGTAAAAATTTATGAAAGCTTGGAGGTTATGTCTGAGTTTTTGGATAGTATAAATCTATTCTGTTGGAAATTGTCTGGTATCAATTTGATACTTCAAAATTATTCTTATTCTGTCTTTCAAAGAGACTGTTTTTTCCTAATAACATGAATTATTTTGTTTCTTGAAGATACACGCATGAAGTTTACTTTTGCGTCTGTCTACAAACGTTGTAGCTTTTTGTATTACAGTGTAAGATCATACAAAGGAAGAGAAGTGTTGTCTGTACTGTTACCCATGTACTCATTTGTATGAGGGGCGTTCAAGTTCTAAGGTCTCCGATTTTTTTTTCTCAGGACTGGGAGCAGATAGACACATGCGGTTTAGTTTAAAATGTGTGCACTCTTTGTGAATGCGTGACAGAGATGGCAGCACTGTACGGCACACAGAACTCTAGTGGTGGTGGCGAGGGTAAGGAGTGTTTTTGATACCTAAAATGGCGACGTTTTCGTTACAAGAACAGCGAGTAATCATTCGTTTTCTCCACTTGCATGGTGCAACACCCATTGAAATTCATCGCCAGTTGAGTGAGACGTGTGGTGTTATGAATGTGAAAAATGTGCGTTCTTGGGTGCGACAGTTCAAAGAAGGCCGAACGTCATGTGACAACGAACCAAAACAATTTCACCCTAGCACCAGCCGGTCTGACAACATGGTCGAGCGAGTTGAGAGTTGTTTTGGAGGATTGCCATTGAGTGTGGAAAACATCGCCTCCAAAGTTGGCATTTCCGTGGGATCTGTGCACACAATCCTGCATGAAGACCTACGAATGCGAAAAGTGTCCTCCAGGTGGGTGCCACGAATGCTGGCAGATGACCACAAGGCTGTGTGCATGGAAATTTGCCAGGCGATGTTGACATGTGATGAAGGCATGAATGGGACTTTCTTTTCATCAATTGTGACAATGGATGAGACATGGATGCCGTTTTTCAATCCCGAAACAAAGCGCCAGTCAGCTCAATGGAAGCACACACTCAGGGCCACCAAAAAAAATTCGGGTAAGCACCAGTGCTGAAAAAATGATGATGGCCATGTTTTGGGACAGCGATGGCTTAATCCTAACTCATTGCGTTCCAAAGGGCACTGTGGTGACAGGTGCATCCTATAACGATGTTTTGGAGGACAAGCTCCTTCCAGCACTGCGAGAAAAATGGCCAGAAAAGGCTGCACGTGTGCTCTTTCACCAGGACAATGCTCCAGCACATCGGGCATATGCGACACAGCAGTTTCTTCGTGAAAACAACCTTGAAGTGGTTTCTCATGCTCCCTACTCACCTGACCTGGCTCCTAGCGATTTTTGGCTTTTCCCAAAGATGAAAGACACTCTCCGTGGTTACACATTCACCAGTTGTGCTGCTATTGCATCAGCGATTTTCCAGTGGTCAAAACAGACTGCTACAGAAGCGTTCGCAGCGGCCATGGAATCATGGCATCGACGTTGTGAAAAATGTGTATGGCTGCAGGGAGATTACATTGAAAAGTGACAGAAGTTTCAAATTTGTTGTATGATTATTGTGTGAGACCTTAGAACTTGAACACACAACGTATGTATAATGTAGCAATATCAGGAACTCAACATATGGACGATTTATAATAATAATTTGGCTTAGAAGTTGCTATATGCAGTTGTACAGCCAGAAAGCTATAGCTGAAATCAGCACTAAAAAACATTACTATATACACCACTGTCCAAAAAGTATCGCAACTTTATTTTTTGCTGCTGTAAGTAATGGCCAAAGGAGTGGGGAAACTGAGGGTAGTTGTAGAAGGGACTTTCATGCGCATGTGTGATAGTTTGCTGACTCACAATACCGCCGGATGTGTCTGTGGCTTCCAGATAGCAAAGTGGTGTCACACAGGTTCATCACATTCTCGTTTCGCTCAAGATGACAAAACCCTTGAAGCAGTGATACTGCGTCCAAGTTTTGTCAGAACCTTGGGGATACCCAAGCAGAAACAATCCACAAAATTCAGCAGGCTTTCGGCGATGATGCAATGGGGGTCACTCAAATTAAAGAGTGGTTCAACCGCTTTAAAGATGGCCATATATCGGTGGACAGTGACCAGTGTTCCGGAAGACCGTCAATGAGCTGAAATGCTGATGTCATTGAAAAAGTGCAGACACTGATCATGGAGGACTGTCGTTTGACCATCCGGGAAGTTGCTGATGAGGTTTGAATCAGCAAAGGTTCTGCAAACACAATTTTAACTGAGGATTTGGGCATGCGAAGAGTGGCAGCAAAATTTGTGCCCAAGCTGATTTCGCCGGAGCAGCAACAACTCTGCCTTGAAATTGCGCAGGACATGCTGGAGTGCGCCAACAGGGATCCTGAGTTCCTGAAGACTGTGATCACGGGTGTATGGATATGAACCAGGAACCAAGGTCCGGGCATCACAATGGAAGCATCCAACATCCCTGAGGCCCAAAAAAGCACGACAGGTTCGAAGCAATGCGAAGGTGATACTGTTTGTTTTTTTCGATTACTGGGGTGTTGTGAATCATAAGTACGCTCCACTAGGCCAAACTGTCAATAAGGAGTACTACCAAGAAGTCCTCCGCCATCTTCGTGATGCAGTTCGGCGCAAGAGACTGGGGCTGTGAGATGCACTCAACTGGCAGCTGCATCATGACGCCCCAGCTCATTCATCACACCTGATCCAGGGTTTCCTGGCCACGCACGGCATTCTGCAGGTTCACCAGGCTCCCTACTCTCCTGATATGGCTTCTTGTGATTTCTGGCTGTTCCCGAGATTGAAGACACTGCTAAAAGTCTCCCGTTTTGACAGCCACGAGGACATCATACAAAATGCGACAGCGCAGCTGCATGTCATTCCAAAAGAAGCCTTCCAGAATTGCTTCCAATGATGGAAGGAATGCTGGGCTTAGTGTGTGGAGTCACAAGGGGCTTACTTTGAAGGGGATTAGGTAGTGTAACCAACCAGATATGGAACTTTGTTTTCCCTGCCCAAGGTCAGATACTTTTTGGATATAGTAGTGTATATATATGTATATATATGTGTGTGTGTGTGTGATAGCACAGTCTTCTTAGTTTTTCAGCTCTTTGCTTATCTTGAGAACACAGGTTTGTCTTGGGTTATTCATTTCTTGATGTTGAGAGTTCTACTAAAATTTGTGTAACATCCCAATTTGGGTTAAAATCAGACAACAGTAAGGTCTATATACAATTCTGTGCACATCTCATGCATGAGAATGACATTTATTTTGTTTTTAATACCATTTTCCTGTAAGTCTTCTGGTTTCTGACACAACTACAAGGGAGCAAATGTGGCAGAATTGTTACATATGGTTACAGTTCCTAACTTATGAAAGAGCTAGGCAGTTCTTGCAGCCTATAACTGTGAAAATAGTTATACACAGTTGTCTTATGTAAGTTCAACATTAACTGAGGTATTCTTTGGTGTGTTCACAGACAGAAATGACTATCACTTCTTTTTCTGAAAGAAATGAAGGAGAGACATGTGGAGCTAATCTCAACATTTACTTTATAGTACAATATCCTACAGTTGCAACATGGAGCAAGGCATTTGAAGGAACCCGTATTTTTCCTATCATACATGAAAGTGCAGCTGAACCATTTTCCATGCATTTGGTGCAAAAAGTGTATGGAAATTATTACACTGTTTTAGTGAAGTATATAGACTATAAGGATTTTATTATTGTTAGAAACATTTTGTGTATTTAAGAACTCTACATTCAATTTTTACTTCCAAGAATTATTTATACTGAAGCATTTTCCAAGTCATTTTAGTATTTGTTGACATGTATGGTTAGACTGTTAAAGCTTTCAACCTTGTGTAATGAAATGTTGATTTATTTCTTTATAAAGGCTTTTATAATGGATTCTCAGAAAGGAAAGTGAAAAATATATATCATCAAGAACCAGCAAGTACCAAAACAATAAGTATTACATAACTAAACACACTTGTTGAAGACATGTCAGAATTGGTTAGTTTTGTCTTTTTGAGCTTGGTGACTGTCTGCAGGTTATACTACTGGAATTTGATTCATCTTTACACCTGTGTCCAACACTGGCTTTGGGACTTCACATTCCATTGCCCAATGGTTACCACAGGCTCCCTCCAAGGCAGTAGAGCAGCTGGAGCATCTAGTACTGAGGACTAGAATGCATGGAGCTTTACCTCCATATTGCAATGATGTGCTTAGGCAAAGAGAATATATATTTGATCTTTCTATGATTTGTTGAGGCACTATGCTACAAGTGGGAAAGTCGCGGGTTCAAGTCCCGACTTCATTCAAATATATTATAATTTTAATTGTAATATTTAAGTACAGTCAGTTAAAATTTTGATGTATAAGTCCAAAACACAATAAGGATCCTTAATTAGTGAACTGAACGATAATTGGATGCAGTTCAGCAGTTTAAAGCCGAACACTGTACGCCTGATATGGAGGCGAAAACATATGTCATGTCCATAAAAGCTTTAATAAAACATGTTGATACAGTAGTGTCTTCTTGTTTTTAATATACAGAGTATTGTTGTGTAGATGGTATATTCTTGTAGGCTTTAAGAGTTGGATTTTATTTGTATTCAGCACCCAATCAACATTGTCTCCATAAATAGGGGCCATAATACAAAATCTGACACAGAATCTAAGGATTGGAAGGCACAATAAGGATATGATTAAACACTTCATTTTTCCCCTTCCCCTAAGGCATTATGCCTAAAAATTAAATATATCATTACAGCACACAATCTTTAAGAAACTACGCCAAAGCAATAACAACAAAATGGATATGTTCTGTATATGAAATGAGTATTTGGAAGCTGCATAATTTTAACGATTTCTTATACAGATTTAATGTTCGTGAACATTAAAGGTATGAAACAAAAACATAATTTCTTCATACATTAACCTGAGACAAATTCTTCAAAGTTTCCAACTGTCATGAAAATTGTTAGGTATACTATATTAATTAAAAAAAAGCACAATAGACCACTGTAGGTTGTGGTGCAAGGGCCGAGGAGTCATACCCTTCATACACAAAATCATTACCTGTACTTAAATATCACTAAATCTGAACTTATTTTCTGCAAGCAATATATTTATACCATGCCACATAGCAGTTACACCACTTACACCTAATATACAGCCAGCATTTTACATGGCTATACATTCACATGAATCAAGACTGAAATTATTTTCTTGCATATCATACCAAAATAATAACTTAATCACAACAAAGATTATTTTTTAAGCATTATGATAAGATGATAAAGAAATTCAGCTGGAAACAGTGTCTAGTCAGTGCTAGTACACAGAAGTGTTTCCTTTTATTATCAATGGAAAAGCAACATGCCACATTAAATTGTGATTCATTAATCATGTTAAAAATGGAAGCATTACCAGATATCACAAAAAGCAACAGTAACCAATCTCTCCTTCCGAAACTGCATCTGTAATATGGCACACAGGTAAAAAGGAGTTAAAGTTATCATCTGACATCTAATGACATTAATAAAAATTAATACTTCCACTAACAGTTACATGAACATGTGTCACTTCTAAAGCTTTTCATCACATTTAACACAGAATATAAAAAATATTGATTCCAAGAATTCAATTTTGTTTCTTTGTTAAGGGGATGATCAAGATTCCATTCTTTGCTTCTTTTACCTTCCACCACCTACCAAGTCTGTGTTCTTGACCAACACCCACAATAAGATAATTACCATCAGAAGTAAAAGCCATTGCATTAATGAAGCCTACAATAGGAATATTTAGAACAGGACTCAGTGATCGAAAACCACTATCACATTTCCAGAGTTTAACATATCCATCGTGCGAACCAGAAGCAACTAAATCCGTGTTTGTTAGAGTGGAAATACTAGAGATCCAATTTGGTTCTTTATTTTGTGCAGACACACCATGAGCAAATTCTACTGTGCACAGTGGTTTCTTCTTTTTGGTTCCCCAAACACACAACTGTCCATCTTCACCACAAGAAAGGAAATGTTCTTCATTAATCAGTTTCACTGCATCAATGCTACCTATGTGCCCATTGTATATCAACTGTGATTCTTCCACTACCTTCCATATCCTAACTGTATGGTCCCTACCTCCTGATGTCACAGCCCGTTCTCTTGACAAAACATCTACGCTTGTGATTCCAGCCTGATGGCCAAATAAACTTTCTACATATGTCATCTCATCCAGGCTCCATATTTTGACTGCTTTATCTGTAGACACACTAAACAACTGATGAGTTCCTTTTCTAAAGGCCAAGCCACTAACAGAACCATTATGACCTTTGAACACATGTAAATGATCCAGAGTGTCAGGGTGCCAAATATGAATCACTCTATTTTCACCACCTGAAGCAAGAAAGCGGTTATCTGAAGATATGGCAATGCAGAGCACTGCTGCAGTGTGGCCCTTATCCATGTCTGATGACCCTTTCTGTGTTCTCGGTCTACAGTTTACTTTACGCCTATCTGCTAGAGACCACTTCACAATTCCACAATCCTTAGACGCTGAATAAATAAACTTATTGTCTGATGATATGACGAGGCACGTGATAGCAAGTTTATGCTCCTTACACCGTAGAAACTGAATGCCATTATTCTCAACCCCCACATAATTATCTGCAACCGCCTTTCTCAGTTTACCACTTTGTTCTAGGTAATCCTCTTTCAGACGATGGGCAATTACATCCTTGTCAATAACCTCTCTTTCTGCTCGTTCGCACTCTTCTCTTTCAATTTCAGCAAGGTAAAGTTTTGCCAAACGAACTTTTTTATCTTGTGCTGTTTCTCCTGTGTCATCTTCCAATTCTAAATGTATATTTTGACCTGATGTATTATTCTCGACAATGTCACTTTCCAAATCACTTTCTATCTCTTCATTATCTAATGACAATGCATGCTTATTCAAGTCACCATTTTCAAGTGCCTTTCTTTTCCTTAGGTGTTGACTTAATTCACTCTTCTTCCGTTTCAATTTCTTTTTAACATATTTTCCGCTCCGCCCCTCGATTTGCTTTCCATTAGCAGTCGTCCTTATGAAAAACGACATTACTGAAAATTGTGCTACACGTGTTTAACCTTTCCAGCCCCCAGCCAATTTAGCACACTTAAAACGTGGAGGTCACTGAAGTGGAGGTGAAGGAGTTTAACGCGTCTTCCAAAGAGACAATGATATGTAAGCAAGGGAGTTACTTAGCATCACAATCATGCTGAGGAGCACGGACTCTAGTGTCACTGAAATAATCAATCTGCTTGACCATTAAGACACCCTGGTATATGTTTAATTATCGTTGGTTCACGTGACTAGGGACGACGCGATGTTATTGGTTATCTTCGGCAATGATGGCGGTTAGTTGGATTTGGTTATTTGACATGTGGTAGTTTTAAATAAATCAGTAATAATAAATAATGGTGTAATAAGTTTTAAAAGTATTTAATAAGGATCTAGAGGTAAGCGAAGATTGTTGTATATAGTATCTGTTTAAAATATATGAAGTTAAGGAGTATTGCGTGCCTTCGCATCACGTCACATTTAGGGGCAGATTTTGTTCCTATCGCCTACTTAAGGTAGGGTTCATTTTGCTACCTTAGATTGTATAAAGTTGACCTAGCGTAGGCCCTGGAACACACAGTTGTGTTATACGTACCGTAGCATACACTAGTAAGTATGTTGTATGTAACTACCAAGGCCCGGTGTGGTAGGTAGGCCGTTGTTTTTTTTTTTTGTTTTTTTTTTCGATTTTGTACCCCAAAACTATGCTAATCCGGATAATGACCGTCTGATTTTTCTGAGAGTCTGTTTTTTGTTGGGGGTTCAGGACTAAATTAAATATATGTATATATAGGTATGCTGGCAACTTGATGCGCAGCATAAATATAATGGATATTTTATGAATCTTAAATATTTAAGAAAAGTTTTATACTGAAAAACTGTTTGTTACCTACGTGTCCTGGGAAGATGTGTTAAATATATGGTGAAGTGAGGAGTGGTTGGGAAGAAACGATAAAGGGCATTGAGAATTCTTGCTTGAGAGAGGCTCCAGGCATATGGAAGTAGTCGAAGGGGGGTGGGGGAGAAGCATGTTCAGGTTTGGAACCTCGTTAGAAAGGGATTGCAGGTAGATAGGATAACCTGTGAAGAAACACATTAGGCTCAGGATGCTCCTCAAACTCAAACTTTGTGGTACCATGATGTATGGTGGCAGCAGAAACACCAGTGGGCTTGCAATCTCTGTGCACTTATGGTAAACTAAAAAGTATTTGTATACTGCTATGAACAATGTCAGAAAAAGTTTTCTTTTAATTCCAGCTACATTTTGCAGCACACCTATATTAAAGCTTCTTGACTTGCTGATTTGGCAAACCTGTGCATGTATACAGTTGTGGAATATTTTAAACAATTCATGAGAACTCAGTGATCCCAGCTAGTTATGATCCACAGCTTATAGAAACCCTGGCATGAGGAATACTACATTATTGTACAGGAAAATATTTGGAAGCACTTTAGTAGGAACCATACCATTTACTGATCCATTTGCACTGTTTGTGCTGTGTGGGACTGTCACCATGCATAAGGTAATTTATTGTGAGTGAAGTAGTTGACAGTTCTTTTGTGGTTCATTATCTTTGTTGTCTGGAGCTTGCTAGCATCTGTAAAGATATCACTGTGCTTGGTGTTCAGAAACTTCAATTGCAGCTGGAATGAGGAATATTCTGGAAATCAGACCCTCTGCACACATATCATGAGGAGATGAGAGGTTCTCATAGCAGTGGTTGTAAGGATTACTGCCTCCAGCGATGTGGCAGCATGTAGCGTGGTAGATATATACCAGAATTTAGGAGGCACTAGAGTCTCCACCTTCAGAGTCTGAAAATGAATGCAGCAGGTTCCACTGCATCGCATCGCAACACATTCAGGAAGAGTGTAATCTTCACTACACGCAGTTCCTGCAGTGTTCCTCACTTTTCATTATGTTGTTTGCTGATGGAGAGTCTTGTATTTGTGTACTCATTGACTGATTAAAGAAAGTGTTCAGAACTTAGAGAATCCTCACTTGGGATTCAGGGGTGCTCTCTTTGTTGACAGAAATTTGTTGGCATGTGTGAAGAAACTGTGGTACCTGGTGATGAGAAACCTTCTTAACTGTGGGTGGAGTGCTCCAGAGGTGTGACCCTATCCATTGGTACTACAAAGAGATTTAAGATACTTAGAGCAGTGACTGAAGATTACTGGCTTATGGAATGTGGTGCTTGTAGTGTGGTAGATATTTACCAACATTTCAGAGGAACCTGCTGCCTCCTTCATCAGGTTGTGAAGAAGGATGGAGCAGGTTCCTTTGAAACATTGGTCACTACCAGACTACACAGTATCACATCTGAGAAGAGAGGAGTCTTCACTACAAGGATTTCCTGTGTGGATACTGATGCTGAGGTATGCTTGCAGTTCGAAGCTCTTCAATTTATTTAGTGGTTCATAGGATATGTGATGTTATGCAGATAAAAATACATACATCTGAGACATTAGTACATGATCTGAAGCCTTTTGAGTTTGAAATTGCTGTTGCAAAGTTGAACAAAAGGTATAAATGACCAGGTAGTAATCAAGTTTTTATAGAACTGATTCAAGCAGGAGGTGAAACATATGGGCTGAGACCCATGAACTCATTAATTCTCTTTGGAATCAGGAAGAATTACCTTCTCAGAAGAAGGAGTCTGTTATTGTACCAATTCACAAGAAGGGTGATAAAACTGACTGCAGTAATTGCCGTGGAATGTCATTGCCATTAGCCACATACAAAATTTTATCCAGTGTTCCTCTTTAGAAGTTAAGTCCATATATAGATAAAAATATTGGGGATCATCAGTGTGGGTTTTGATGTAACTGGTCAAGTACTGATCAGATGTTTTGCATTTATCAGATACTGGAGAGAAAATGGGAGTACAGTGAGTCAGTACAGCAACCATTCGTAGACTTCAAGAAACTATGATTCAGTTAGGAGGGAAGTATTGTACAGTATTTTCATAGAGTTTGGGGCACCCATGAAATTAGTTAGGCTGATTAAAATGTGTTTAAATGAAACGTATAGTAAAGTCTGTATGGATAAACATTTGTACGATAATTTTCTTATCCAAAATGGTCTAAAACAAGGAGATGCTTTATTGCCACTGCTTTTCAATTTTGCTTTAGAAAATGCCATTAAGAAGGTCCAAGAAAACCAGGTGGGACTGAAATGAAACGGGACACATCAGCTGTTGGCCTATGCTGATGATGTGAATCTTCTGGGTGATAATGTAGATACCATAAACAGAAACACACAAACTTTAATTGGCGCTAGTAAGAAGGTTGGTCTAGAAGTAAACACAGAGAAAACTAAGTATATGCCACTGTCTCGTCACCAAAATGCAGGGCAGAATCATGACATAAAGGTAGGAAATAGATGTTTTGAAAATGTGGCACAGTTCAGATATTTGGGAACAACAGTAACAAATCAAAACCTGATTCAGGAGGAAATTAAGAGGAGATTGAACTCGGGTAATGATTGCTACCTTGCAGTCCAGAACATTTTATCTTCTCGTCTGCTGTCCAAAAACAAAGCTTAGAATATACAAAGGTGTAATCTTGCCTGTGTTTCTCTATGGGTGTGAATTCTAGTCTCTGACTCTAAGGGAGGAACATAGATTGAGTGTTTTTGAGAACAGGGTGTTAAAAATATTTTGACCAAAGAGAGATGAAGTGACGGGAGATTGATGAAAACTGCATAATGAGGAGCTTCATAACTTGTACTCTTCTCCAAGTATAATTAGAGTGATCAAGTCAAGGAGGATGAGATGGACAGGACATGTAGCACGAATTGGGGAGAGGAAGAATGCATGTAGGATATTGGTGGGAAAGCCAGAAGGAAAGAGGGCACTAGGAAGACAGAGGCATAGGTATGTGGATTATATTAAAATTGATCTTAGATAGGATGGGGTTGTATGGACTGGATTGATGTGGCACAGGCCAGGGACCAGTAGAGGGCTCTTGTGAACACGGTAATGAAGCTTCAGGTTCCATAAAATGCTGAGAAGTTCTTGAGTAGCTGCACAACTGGTGACTTCTCAAGAAATGGTCGACTCCATGAAGTTAGTTAGTTAGTGTCTGTTACGTATGGAACTGTATAACAGATACCAGGAATTTTACTGTAATTGAGAAGTGATTATTATATACATATTTTTCGCTCATTATTTTTCTGGGATACCTTAGAAGCACTGAAATGCTTATGACCCAATTGTTACAAGGTGCTCCAGAGTGTGAACTGAGCAGGGAGCTTCCAGGAATTCCTCACCTGCCCTTTGTGACCCAGGAAGGAACTTTCCTGTCACATGCTTGCTCTGTGCACCGAATATGAGGCATCCCTGTTGTGAAGGTGAGTTTCATGTGAGGTGATAATTAGGATTTTGGAAATTAACAAGGTTGTAAAAGTTTACAGTGTACATGTAACAGGTGCATTTGGGAGACCAAATTATAGGTAAAATAAGACTACTATGGACTCTTCCCTGATAATAAAGAAACTTTAAATTCAGATGCAACTAATCATTGTTAGGTTATGGTTCCTGCTCACATGGGTGAGAAGGACTGCTCAATGTATAAGCAGTATATAATAAGGCTTCATTGTGTGCTACTTTAGCCCACTACACTGCACTGCCAGGATGTAATGTTATAAGAATGATACATTCACTGTTCAGAAAGCACTAGTTTTGTCAAAGGGTTGAGCTAACAAAATAATGTTTTTGCAACACAGTGGTTCCATATTTCAAGTTTCTAAGTACATTCATTTATAAGATTTTGACCTTTCACATTGAATAAATGTGCTAAAACCTTCTCGGTGATCAGCAGTGTCACTGTTGGATTAGAAACTGACATGTCAGAGATCATCTCTGTCTCCATCATTAGGGTGGAATCAGATCATGTGGTTTCTCATCTGACTCTTAACCTTGTTACCATTGTCATCCCCCCACCCTGTAGCATGCCCTTGCCTTAATAATGTCATTCTTGGATTCTGTGCTGTGCTGAGTTTGGACCCTTCCTCTGTGTTGATGTTCTTTGGATATAATTTTATTTTTATTGCTACTGTGACAAGTTGGTCCACACAGTCTGATGTGTGCTGTGTTGTCCCACTGCAGACGTCTCTCTCCTGCTGACCCTAACATAGGTGTCATTCATGGGCTTCACATCTCATTTCAATGGGTTGACATGTCTGATCTATATACGCTTTTCCACATTCGCGAGGAATGTTACAGATCCCTGAAACTTTCAATCCTAAGTCATCGTTCACTGGTCTTAGTATGTAAGAACTCCTCTTAGCAGGAATGTGGGTTGTCTTTGTATTAAATTTTTGCCAGTAACCTGCTGATCTTCTGTGATTGTGCCTTAGAAAAGTGCATAGATAAGCACTTGTTCCAATTTACACTCATCCACCGGTAGTTCTCCATTGGTTTTATCAGTGAGTTTGTATGTCATTTCTTGAAGCAGTTTTGTGTTACCATATAGAGATGAGACTGGAACTGTATATCAGATCTCCCAGAAAAGTTCAAACTTATTTCATTATAATCGACTGCAGATAATGCAAGATGAAAATGCAATGGCCCTCAGTCAAAATCTCAGGGCTTAGTATTAAGTTGGGGACTTATTTGGAGTTTTCTCACTTGGAATACATCTTTTTTGGTGGCAAAGAATTTAGCGATTTCTCTTCTTCAGAGGTTATTGATTGTTTAGTCTTTAGATCCAACAGAAGGTTGGAGAAAATTACACAGTGCGGAACTTTAAAAACTGTACTCCTTGCCAGATACTAGTAGGAAGATGAGATGGTGGGGCATGTAGTATGAATGAGAAAGTAAATGCAAAATTTTGGTAGGAAAAACATATGCATAGATGGGAGGATAATATTCAAATGGGTATTGAAGGTTTGGACTGGATTCATCTGACTCTGAACATGGACCAGTGGAGGAGTCTTGTGACCATGGTAGTGAACCTGTGGGTTCCATAAAACACTGGGAATTTCTTGTTCTGTTGAGTGACTGTTAGCTTCTCATGTACTCACCTCAGTTTAGTCTTTGTTGAGATGTCCAGACCAACCCCAGGGCACACCTGTTTGCTATCAGCTACACTTTGCAGACATGCAAGGAGAAGTTCTGGCGTTTGTCATGTCTGCCTTCACAGTGCAGTGTTGAAACCATTTGTTTAGCTTTAAGGGCCATGATACTCAAGGATATAAATAAATTTATATGCTTATCTTTTGAGTAATTAGACAGATATTGATAAAGCTTGAAAAACAGGATTTCTTCTAGACTCCGTGTGAGTTTCATTCACTTAATTCTTATTAAGGCATATTAACAACAGGAGAGTAAAATACCTTGGAAGTCGTAAGACACACAGTGTTTGTGTAGAACTCAGACTTCAAGAAAATCACAGGCATAATGACAGTACACTTGGTTGTCGACTTACAGCCGACTTTCGTTCTGACAGGTCATAAGTCAGTCTGGTTGTATGTCGGCCATATATTTATTAACAGTATTTTTTTAACCTTTATCATCTTTATAATGTATTTTTAAAAACTTTTACATTTTAATCATCTTTTATTTTTCATCTTTTTGTGGTCGTGAGTGCGGCCGGTCCTAAGTCGACCAAGTGTATATTAAATGTGGACAGTGACAGTCATTTGCGTTTATTTATTGTTTCTTGCTTTGTAGCTGATGTCCATTTGATATAGTGTACACATGCTTTTGATGCCATTTGGGAATCCATTTGCTGTTATTTTTCAGAATGAGACACATGACATGTTTAGTTCCAGTATTTTATTTTGACAGTATGTGTTGCAATGTCTTAGTTAATAAAGTGACTGCTTATAAGCCGGACAGTCATGATTTGGTTCTTAGGAGGAGCAGGGACTTCCCTCTTTGCCATCATGTTGAATACATGCTAAATGTAATGGCTCAAATTACAGAGTAGAAAATTATTTCGTTTTGGCAAAGAGAATGACTTCTTGGAAGACTACCTTTCTGCCTTATGCACTTAACATTGGGATCATGTGACTGCCAAAAATGTGTAGTGATTGGTATTATTCAAACAGAGTATGTTTATTTGTAAAACTTTTTGTACAGCACTTTGTTTTGGAGCAGCTTATTGTCCCTATTTTGAGTTACTTGTGCTGGATGCAAGGTCCTTGTATAGAGTACAAGTGACTTAAGATGGGGGTAATATTTGGGGTTCTTTACTGATTTTATTTTGTCTGTTCACAGGTTTGGTAGAACATAAGGATGCTTATGGATAGCTTTGCGCTGGAGAGGACATGTGTGGGCCCAGCACAGAATTTAATTTCTCAGGAGATAGTACGCAAAACACTCTTCAGTGATTTCAAGTGCTTCTTATCAGCAACTAGTACATACATATCATGGACAAGGTACAACTCTTTATTAAGACCGTTGTATATACTCACACAACAGGATGCATGAAAAAAAGAAAGGGTCACATTAATATTCATGTAACAACAATCTGTTTTAATTTCTATACACATGGAAGTACCTGACCATAACTTTTGGGCTCATGTTTATCACACCCCCAGAGCAAGTTTAACTCTTCCCAAATTAATGAAACTCTGCCAGTCACCACATCTGTTTTTGGAAATCACTCTGGGCAGTAACCCCATCTGGTGGTCTGTAATTTCATGCAGTAAGTTTGTGCTGTGCCCTGTCCCCCACATCCTGGAAGCCCAATCATAAATCAGAACCTTGAACCAGTGGCACAACTTCCAACCCTACCAGCAAACGGTTTGTGGTAAGAGGTATGTTCTCTCTGAGGAAGTTCCATTTCCTGACAAATGAGCATGTCTGCTGACAAAAAGATTTTGAAGCAATGCAATCTGATCATACCCTTGCCTAATGTGTGAATATGGGGTCCAGCTATATCTGACGTGACACATACCATTAGTACAGAGGCAGCTCACGGATGGTGCACAGCTGAAGAGGAAGACACTGCATGGCCCTTGCTCACTCAGCAACTCTACATCCTTCATCCCTAGGAACAGCTCCTACTTCATTGACACCATTCCAGGATCACTAACATAGAGGAACAGTAACACACATATTACTTACTTACTTACTCATGGAGCTGAGCTCTTCTGGATGAGCCGCCAATTCTGCAGCTACTCAAGAATTTCCCAGCATCTTATGGAATGTGAAGGTTCATTACTATGTTCACAAGAGCCCTCCACTGGTCCCTATCCTGAGCAAGATCAGTCTATTCCATACCATCCCATCCTATCTCTCTAAGATCCATCTTAATATTGTCTACCCACCTACACCTTGGTCTTCCCAGTGGTCTCTTTCCTTCTCGTTTTCCCACCAATATCCTATACGCATTCATCTCCACCATTCGTGCTACATGCCCTGCCCACCTCATCCTCCTTGATTTGATCATTCTAATTATAGTTGGAGAACAGTACAAGTTATGAAGCTACTCATTATGCAGTTTTCTCCAACCTCCTGTCTCTTCATATGTCTTTGGTCCAAATATTCTCCTCAACACCCTGTTCTCAAACACCCTCAGTCTAGGTTCCTCCCTTAATGCAAGAGACCAAGACTCACACCCATACAGAACAAAGAGGTAACATTATAGTTTTGTATATTCTAATTTTTATGTTTTTAGACAGCATACAAGAAGACAAAAGGTTCTAGACTGAATGGTAGCAAGCATTACCCAAGTTCGGTCTCTTAATTTCCTCCTGAATCAGGTTTCGATGTGTTATTGTTATTCCCAAATGTCTGAAGTGTGTCACATTTTCAAAGCATCCGTTTCATATCTTTATGTCATGATTTTGCCCTGCATTTTGGTGATGAGACAGCAACATGTACTTAGTTTTCTCTGTGTTTACTTCTAGACCAACATCTTTACTTGCATCAATTAAAGTTTGTGTGTTTTTCTTTATGGTATCTAGTAACACACATATACAGACTGTAAATCTGAATACCTTGTAAGTGGTCATAATTGTGCTTCTGCTTATTCAAGATGACCCTCATACATGGAATGTAGCAGCACAAAAGATGCTCACCTACAGCACATACACTCCCACCACTTCCTGTGCAGTAACAGGGGGGTGGACAAACTTGATGATTACTCTTGGTCCAAAGGGCTCCTCATGGATGCTGTGCAGTGGGGAAGAATGTCAAAATGGTAATCATTACTGATGTTTCATTTTCAGTGCTAAAATATATGGCAGCAAATTCCTCCAAAACATCAGTAATTCATACCATTTCAGCACAGTGCTATACCCATACATTCTACAAGGATATATGGAATAAGTAACATTCATTCATTCATTCATGAGTAATCTGTCAGACGACAGGTCCACAGTCTCTTCCAAAACAGTTCCTCCGCTTAATGCGATCTTCTGTTTTTGGGTAGAGACTATCCAGGAAAAGTGATAATGTGGTAGTTTTTCCATTTGCTTTCCACATCGCAGTACAGCAGCCGTTCAAACCACTCTGGTCACGCCTGTTGCTATACGAACTTGAACCATCTCGAGCATCATTTGCTCTGTGCTTCAAGTCGCTGCTGATGACGCTGCTTCCGGCATCAGTTTTTGGTGTCTCTCTTCGTCTGATGCCTACCCTTTGACCTGTCCAGCAAGGGAGGCCCTGCCAGTAGCTACGCTACCGCTGGTATAGCTCTCAGGGTCCTTGGCATACTCAAACCCCCTCACCACGATAAGGTGGAGACACCAACGAGTAACATATATTAAAAAAAAAAAATGTAATGAATACTGAAAATCTGGTATCTTATTCAAATTCCAGTTCAGTAATGGAAAGGTCTATATGGCAAAAGTGACATATCTTACAAAAATGTAATGAATATTGAAAATCTTGTATTTATTCATCTTCCAGTTCAGTATTGGATACGATTATATAGCAGAAATTAATAATATATGTTAAAGAAATGCAATTACTATTGAAAATCTTATGTTCATGTTCACCAGTTCAGTACTGGTAGCATTATATGGCAAAAGTAAGAGAAGGAATACACCTATAATAACAAAAGTGAATAACAATGTAAGAAAAATGATATAGGTAAAGAAATTACATAAATAATCCTACCCACATTCAATCCTGATACTCATTCTGCTTCTCAGAGTTTCACACTGAGGTGGATAACCTGGATTTTGCAAGTCAATTATAAAGTAATGCCTCTTCATTCTTACCTACACATAAACAAGACCCATATGTGTGAGAAAACAATTTCCCACACAATTCTCGATTGAAATTTAATTACTTGAAGATAACAAGAGTAAAGAACCAAGGGCATATCAGTCACAGGAGAGGAATACAAAGGGTACCTTTTAGGATAAATTGAAGGATCTGTTGGGGATACAAATAGAATATTTAGATGGATATTGGGAGAAATGGAGCTAAGGAGGTGGGATGTGGACACGATTCTTTTATTATTTTTATTGGAGTGAGACAGACCATTTGGTACTTTGGCTACTTGTAGCTTATTGTACCAATCCCAGATGAGGGTGATTGTAGAGCAGTTGGTGGAACAAAGATTGACAGGGGAAATCGAAGTACTTGGAGAAAATTTGTCCAAGTGCCACATTGTGTCCACCACAAATCCCACATGATGAGGCCCGGGAAGCTAGCGCAGGAGTTGTGTAGTTTAGAATAAGTTGCAATTAGTTCTGTAAGAACAATGCAGTGAGGTCGCGGGTTCCATGAAGTGGTAATTTCTTCGGGCACTGAGTGGCTATTTGCAAGGAGTCAGCACAATGAACTTCGTCCTGATGTATGCCATCAATGTAGAATTCGGTACATGTAGGTAATAATGTATTTAATGGCCATAAATGTACAGGTGGGCGGCTATAAGACACAGTGGAGATTTCTCTGCGGCCAGGGACCATACAACAGTGCATATAAGTTCCAAATAAAATTTCTGTTAGTATAATGAAGTCCGTTAGCACATGTTTGCCGCGAGAAAATTCAGAGTTTCGGTCGAAGGCAAAACGAATTGAGGCCATTGAAAGAATGTAGATATGACTCAGGTCAAAGTGTACAGTGTGAACTACAGAAGCCTCTGATCTAACGTCGCAAGTATGCTAAAACAAACCAGCAACATCTGTAATCTGAGAATACGATTCAGCAGAAACAAATATCAACTTCCGCTCCCACCAACTGATATGCCAGGAGCCAACAGGGCTTGAGACCTCGGTATCTTTTTCTCGATAGAAATTGAAAAGTGAATAAATAAATAAATAAGATTTTTCTGCAGCTATAAACCAAATGGCAAAATATGAGGAGGATCGCAGAAGAAGTTAACATAGAAGTTCTGGTGGTCTAGAGGTAAGGCACCGGCGTTGTATAGGAAAGGTCTATGGTTCGAAACCCCAAGGTTATTTGTAATTAGATTTTTATGGAATTATATAGCGAGATGTAACATAACAGGAAGATTAAAGGTCAAAAATTTCAGTGGCATTGGTGGCCTACTGGTAAAATACCGGCATAGTAATACGAAGTTCCGAGGTTCGGAACGAACGAAAGTTTTATAAAATACAAATGGAGTTAATAAGATTTTTCTGTAATTATAACAACAGATGTAGCTTAAGAGGAAGATTAAAGAAAATAAATTTCAGTGGTGCTGGCGGTCTAGGGGTAAGACATCAGGCTAGTGTTCAGAAGGTCCCTGGTTCAAAACCAGTAGGATTTTTGTGAAAAAGAAAATGGAAAGAAGTTAAGAGGTAGGGTAAGGAAGGAGGGAGGGAAGGGGGTGAGGGAATATTTTTGCTTTTTGCGGCCGCTCATTAAAACACTCTCCTAAGCGGGTAAAAGC